TTATAAATGCATAATATATATTAAATGTTTTTTTTTAATTTTAGTATTAATCCTTTTTATATTCATGTTTTTTATAAAAATTTGACTGGGTGGTATAATAGAAAGAATATATTGCTTAAATTTTTTTTGAAATATCAAAATTTAAAGGAAATGTACTTTATCTTATGAATCAAAAACTCAGAAAATTTATACAGATATATTATATTTATAATGTGTACTAATAAGTATAAAACTGAAAAATAATGTGTAAATAATAAAATAAACCGAAGTGATAATATGTCATTTATTAGGTAATTAATATATAAACTATTATTAAATCTTATAGAAAAAAATTGAAAGATATGTATACTTTAAAAATATATAACTTTATTAAATAAAGACAGAAAATATACCTTTTGAACAAAAAATAACATAAAAAAACATATTACATATTGTATTTGTTATTTGTATTTTATTAAAAATGTTGCTAAAAAAATATATTTTCCCCCTTTTTAAGAAAAAAAACTTATTTTAGACAAAATTAAAATGTACATATTTATATACTTAAACAATGAAAATAATTTATTATTTTGTCACAATTATAAAAATGTACAAAAAAAATTATATGAAATTTAATTATATATTATTTTTCATTTACATGCTTGAGTTAATTCATTCTTTGTGAAGTTGCAGTTATGAGAAACCATGAGAGTCAATATATATCTGAATTAATTATATTAATACTTCTATTATTTATCTATTAAAATATATACTAATATTTTTCTCATTAAATTATATCGTATATATATGAGTAATTCTTGAATGAAAACTCTTATTTTTAAAAAAATAGAAATACTAAAATTTTTTTTAAAATTTGAAAACAAAAGAAATTTAGTAACCTTAATTTGTAGAATATAAAGAGCGCTAAAAATATGCACAATACAATATTTTATATTGAGAGAATTAATATATAATAAAAAAAATTATATTAATATTTGTTTACCTAAAAATGATAACATTAAAATATACAAATTAATTATTACGTTAAATAATATTCAGTACTATGATGAAAAAACCGATGAATTCCATATAAAAGTTGGTAATGAAAATTAACATTTACATTTTTTATTTATATAACTTCATAAATACACATAATTTTTTTTATCCCTCACAAAGTGTTTTAATCCTTGCCAGTTTTCATCAAAAATTCTATACATTTTATTATACAATTTCCGTATTCTATGATGAAAAAACAAAAAATCTTATTACTGAAAAAATGTTATATTTACCAAAAAATATAATTTAAATTAATTTTAAAGAAAACTTTTTTATATTAAAATATTTCTTGATATTTATTTTTTCTACTATTAATTTAAAAGGAAAAACAAAAAAGACAATGATGTAAATACAAATATATTTTCACTACATAATTTTCTATAAGAATTATAATGATTCTCACTTTTTTTCACTTAACAATGAATCCTAAAAAAATTAAAAGTATATTGTTATCCAGGAATAATTTTTTAAAAAAAAGCAATCACTGATTTTGTTTAAATAGACAGGAATGTACAATATTTTAATAAAAAGTATTCGTATAATTTATAATGATGCAAATATTAAGTAAAAATGAAATATACATCATTGATACACTACACTTAGGTAGTTATTATAAAATGTAAAAAAACGAACAATGTATCATTAAACTTAAAAAAAAAGTAAAAAAATTCTGTTATAATTTAAACTAGTTATAATAGGAAAAAAGGTTTGCATATTCAAGAATATTTTTTTAAAAGTTGATAGACATAAAATAAAAAATACTTTATTTTTGAAATATTCATTTATTAGTGAATAATAGAGGAAATTAAAAAATGAAAAAAATTAAGAGATAAGTTTATATGAAACATTTATATAAAAATTTTAAAATAATTTTTTAAAAATAATAGTTAACTAGTGAAATAAATTTTTGAACCCCTATGAAAAAATTCAATAAAAGAATAAAAAGTTTTTGATATTGAAGCTACTGAATAGAAATTATGTAAAAGTATTTAAATGTTAATATTCTAAAGTAAATTGATCTACTGAAAACTTATTTAAAAAATTCTAAAAAATAAAGTCAAAAACTATAATAAAAAAAAATAGTATTTTGTTGACTGTTAAGTAATGACTAATATAGAATTACAAACAATCAATAATATAATTAACTTTCTTTTATTGGGTAACTATTTATTAATATAATAAATAACATTATATATTTTGAATAATACAGATATCACTTTTTGTATAATTTTAATCTTTCATATAATGACTTTCATTTCAAATGAAAGTTGGATTTTTTTCGATTTTATATTTTTATTTTAATGACATTTTTTTTAAAGAAAAATAATCATTAAATCATTACAAAATTTATTAAAAGTAAAATTATTTATGAACAAAATATCCTCTATTTTCATGTAAAGTTTATATATAAATATTACTCATAAATTTTCATTTATGAAATAGGGAAAAATAAATATTATCTGCATCATAATTTCTACATTGTTCTAATTTAATGCATAAAGTGCAACTATTTTACATAAAAATGTTGTTCACATTCAAACGGTTAACATTAAATTATATAATTAACAATTTATATTTTTAATATGTACAACAACAAATTCTATGTTGTTCAAAAGCATTTATCTTACATTTTCAAATTTTATGAAAAAAAAAATAAATTCTCATATTTTACTGTATATTAGAAATATTTTTATGTAATCTGTTTGTTTCATTTTTTATTTCCCTTTTATTGCTTTTTCCTCCATATTATAATTTTTAATTCTCTTTGTTTTTATAATCGGATGTCAAATTTTTCTCGTGTAAATTTATATGATTGTTTGATGTAATTTAAAAATAATGTTTCATAAATGTAAAAATGGAAATTTTTATTCATGTAAATGTAGGTTAAAATATATTTAAGAATAGAATAATTATAAAAGTAATACAAAATATACAAATGAAAAATTTCCAAAAAAAAATACATATATTTAGTATTGTAGATATCATATTATATTAATGAATACACATTTATTTCTTGTAGTTATTCTATATTTATATTCAAAGTTATTTAGAAAAATTAAGTTTTAGTTTTATTTGTATAAAATCATAAATTATTATCTTTTATTAAATATTAAATTATTTCATTTCTCAATATATACACATCGTAATTTTTTTAATAATTATTATTTACTTTATATGAAAATTTTTTTCCTAGAATAATGTGAAATATGTTTAGAGAGTTATACACGATAAAATATGATAATCTTTAAAAAATTCTAAAGTTGAAAATATTTTTATTAGTTTAGTATTTAAATTATATTAAAATCAAATATTTGCATAGTATTTACATTTTTATTTTAGTTTTTAATTGTACATATTTCCTATTTTTTGTTATATAATTTCTTGAAATTTTATAATACAATATATATATATTAGATGTATTTATTATTTATTTAAAATTTTATATTTTTTATATAATTGAAAGTAGTAATTTGTATTTAGTCTTGACAATTATAATGGTATAATTTAAAATTTGAGCAATTTAAAACATAAAAAATTCATTATATAAGAAACATCAAGCAATGGGAATAAAAATAAACCAAATGATTTATGAAAAAAACTATTTTTAATTTATACATTATATAATAGAGGGATATATTATCTTTATTTTTAACACAAGTATATACTCAAGGAATAAAACAAATTAAAATGGGATTATATATTTTGTAAACATTTGAATTTATAGAAAGTTGAAAAATTGAGATCTAATAAAGTTTTTCGAAAACAATAATTTAATGAAAAGGGTTTGATAAAAGAATCTTACATATTAACCATGTTGTATGCATTTAAATTTTTCTTAATATGAGTTTTAAGGTCATTTTCTTCTGTAATTATACATTCTGAACAAAATACTCAAGTTTAAGAGATACAAAATTTGTCTTAAATGAAAGGTTATTATCTTACTTCAAAAAGATAAATAAAAGTTATTTTTTATATGCAATAAAGCATTATGAAATTTATTTTGAAAATGAAAGAATTTTTTTTTCTTTTATTCTTAAATTATTTTTAGAATATACTGGAAATTTGGATAATACGAAATACATAAAAAAAAGCACTTTTATCGAATACTTGTTCTTTTTTAAATTAAAATATGAAGTAACATATACTATTATTTAAAAGGTAAAATAACTTCTATAGAATAAGATCACTTTTATGAAATATAAATTAGTGCTTTTTTCAAAGTATTATTTTATTAATTGTAATCACAAATTGTGAAAAATTAACATAGCTTTATAAATATTTTACTTTTTAAAATAATTAAAATAAAATAATAAATTGTATGTGTAAAAATATATTTTAATCTGCGTTATTATAAATTTATGTATTAATTAGAAATTTTTTTTTTAATAGTATGGGGAAAAAAGTATATATTCATATAGTTTTATGAACAATTATTGCATTTATAAATTGTTGATTCTTTAAATAATGATCAATTTCCTCATATATATATAATGGTTAGGAAAAAAGAATTTATAGTTATATAAATATTATCAATTTACAAGTAGTTGGAATAATAATTTATCATTAGTTCTTAAGAGTTATCGTTTTAAAAAATTTTTTTTTTTTTTTTTATATAATTTCTTGTAAATATATGTATGTGTTTTTTTTTGTTCCATTATATTCATAGTTATTTTATACACATTGTAAATAAAACTATTTTAATATATTTTAATTTTTAAATATGAATAAGTATAGAATGTATAAACTATATAAACAAAATACGCAAAGTTAAACAAATATATTTTTGATTTAGACAAATAAAACTAAAAAATTAAATAACTATAAAGAATAATGCATTTTATTAATAATATATTTTTTTATAGAATTTATTTATTATATATTATGTCACGCAGAAAAAAAAAAAAAAAAACTTATACTTTAATAAAGGGGACATATCCAAAATTTCTTTTATTAAAAAATAAAAATTAGTATTTTAACGATTTATTTCTAAATAAATATGATAAGCCTTTATATAAATTATAGGAATATTGATATTTGTTATCTAAAATGTCATCTTTATAAAATTTAAAAATATCTACAATAGAATTCATTTCTACATGAAAAATAAATGTAAAAATATATATTTGTATTAATTAATAAGAAAGGTAAGAAAATATATGAATAAATACCATAAAAATTTGAAAAAAATTATAAATATATATAAATGTTTTTAATTTTACCATAAAGGAGGTGGTGTAATGGATCATATAATTCATTTATTTTGATGAAATTTAAAAAATCAAATAAAACATATGATAAAGAAACTATAATTGATGATAACTTTCTAATAACTGATACTATAACATTTTTACAAATAATGCTTATTGCAATAGACCATAAAGCAACTCCTTTTAAATATACACATGTTAATATAATAGTATCTTTTAATTTATTTATTCTGTGTTTTTCTAATACACCTTTTATTTCTAACTTTTCTTCATAGGAATAAATAGTTTGATCATGGTTTAAAATATTTATATATTTTTTTAATTGGTCAATTAAATCTTCTATACATAATGTACAGGAATCAATATAAGAATTCCAAAATTTTGTATCTTCAAATAACATTGTATTTATAGGGTTACATAAATGACTTAGTATATTTAACTCATCTTTATATTTTAAACTTGCATTAATCAAAATTAATTTTTTAAATAATAATAATTTTAACTTTGTTTTTTTGTCCATATTTGTTATCTCAATATTATTTACCTTAATTTTATAACTTACATCTTTTAAATAGTTATATATACAACTTACAACAAAAAATTCATCATGATAAGAAGATTCATTATGCATTGGGAATTTATTCAATGATGTAAGAACTTTACAATCATATTTATTGAATAAAAAATTAAAAATTATAAAATGATATTCTAATATAGTTGTTATCCATATTGATGAAAATATAGAAAAACAATAAGAGAAGTTGGTAATAACATAAATATTTGATAAATTATATATTTTGGGTAAACTCAATATAACATCAAAGGGATGAGTCAATATATTTATAAGAATATTAAAAGTAACACTATTAATTACTGTTAATAATATATCAACAACAAAACTCAATATATATGAGAAAAAAAATGGTATTATATTTAATATTATTCCCTACAAAAGAAAAAATAAAATATGTGCAATAATATTTAATAATATATGGGAGTTTATTACACTAAATTTTAAAATCTATATATAAAAAAAGAATATAAAATATTTTATATTTGAACCTTTTGAATTAGTTCAATTATATTTTTATTTTCTGTATTCATATAATGCTGGAAATCATGAATATTTGATTTTCTATCATTAAATCTTTTTTGTAGTATATACCTATATAAAAAAACAAAAGAAAATAAACAAATAAAATTAAATGCGTTATTTTCTAAAATTAAAACACTTTTTACTGAATGGATAAAAAAATTTATATTAATTATTAATATATTGTTTTATTTTTTTTTATTTGTAAGATGAATATTTAATTTCATAATTTTTTCATAATAATACATGTATTTTTATTTTTTTATATGTAATTTTTAAAAACTTATATAAATACTATATATATTCAATTGAAAAATGTGTTTTTAATTATATATATAAAAAATTATTATATTATATTCTTACGATATAGCTGCTACATATATAATATCATATATATTATTCCCATATTCCTTTGAAAAAATTATTTTTGTATAAAGTATACTATAAAAAGTTAATATTACACATAATATATTCAATAAATTCCATTCTTTATATTTATAATCTACAAAAAAAAAAAAAAAAATATATATATATATAAAGTTAATAAGATGTAAGGAAAACATTTTTAATAAAAAAGTAATTCTTTATTTATATATATATATATACTATTTAGACTTTGTTCTTTAAAAAATATTAATAATGATAGGGTTAAACACGATGGTATAGAACTAACAAATGTTCCTCTTAGTAAATGTGCTACGATATTTAACTGGTCTTTAAGGAAAAAAAAAAAAAAAAAGGATATTAAAATGAAAAAATATTAATGTTTAATTTAAAATGAAATATTGAAAAGCTATAATAAACATAAGGTATTAAAGTTATAAATATATATAGTATATATTATGTATGTAATTTATTTTTTTTATCCATTACTATTACTGTCTCTGTTTATAATATAGTTATAACATAGTGATATAATTAAATTTAAAATACTTATTAAGACTAAATGCTTAGCTAAAACTTTTATTATTGATTTTACAATAAATTTTATTTTTAAATTTATTCGAGCATTGTAATCACTATTTAATCCCAAGAAAATCATTATGTAGCAAAAAAAAAAAAAAAAAAATTTTTTTTTTAAAAATTAAGATACTTTTCAAAACAATAAAAAAATTTTGTAAATTTATTTTTACATTTCATCTATCATTAAGAAATTTTATACATTATTCAAATTAAAATTATAATGAAAATTTTACTTTTTTTTTTTAACATAGTTCTCTTTATATTTAATATGAGAATAACATATACATATGTATATATATATTTACTAAAAAAAATTGAAAATTATTAAAACGGTTTAAAAAGTATAAATTTTTTTTTTTTTTTTTTTTGTATTTTATTATAAAAAAAGAGTATATAAAAAAATTAATAATAGAAAAACTACAGAAAAAGAATAAATTTAAAAATATAAAAAAAGATATATATAATAATGATATATTTCAATAATAATACAATCTGAGAATTTTTTTTTTTTTTTTTTTTTTTTTTTGTTGTAAATATTTCTCTTTAGTAAAAATATAAGATTTTTTTTTTTAATGTAAAAAAAATAACTAGTCTTTATTAAGATATGCTCAGGAAAATTTTAAGAAATATGTATAATTTAATATTTTGCTTACATGAAGCAAAAGGGCAAATTCGTAGCATTGATTATATTTGGAAATAAAAATTTCGTATAGAGTTTAATCTGTGCTTCAAAAGAATTGAGGCATTTTTATTTCGAATACAATTTATGTATTTTTATTCCTTTTATATTTATATTATAATTTATATTTATTTAAATTAAATATAATTATTTTTAAGATAAATTAATAGTAAGTTTCGTATATGAAAATACATTAGAGAGTTTCGAAAAAATATTTTTATAGCATGAATCGCTTATAATCTAATGTATTTTTTTTTCATATTATAAATTACACTTTTAATATAATTATAGTGAAAAAAAAATTTTATTGTGTTTACATTTTTTTAAATAAAAAAGTAACTTCAAACATATATTAAGTTGCTGAATGTATATTTTATTATTTTTTTTAAATAAAAGAGATTTATTCAAGTTTATATCTTTATTTGAAATTTATGTTAAAAAAAGATTTAAAGTTAAATTATAATAATCAGAAAATAACTCACAATTTTACATAGAAATTTACTTAAAAAAGTATAAAGAATAAAAAATTTAAATAAAAAATGCAAAAAAAAAAAGAAATTTTAACTTGTATAAGCATGAGTGAAATGTAAAATAATAATTTAATTAATAAAAGAATTAAAGTAAATTATATCTTCTTCATTCAAATATATCCATTTTTGTTTCCATTTGATCATTTAGTATAGACTGGTGAAGTTCTAGAAGAAAAAAATATATGGATAAATAAAAAAGAAATTTATTTTTCTTTTTAAATCTATAAAATAAAATAAAATAATTTATAATTTACACGAATTATATTTTGCTTTATTGTTAGATTTATTAATAAAAGTTATATAACTGTTATAATTTTTTGTTATAATTTTATCGAGAAAAAATATAAAAGGATTATTCTCCCATTTATGTATATTATAGGAGTTCTAATTTAAAAGAATAATTATTTTTATGATTTTTTGGTTATTTTTTGATATAATTATATATTAACAAAAAGAAAAAAAAATGGAAAATAATGAAAATATAGAATTAAATGAAGATCAAATATTATGTTTATTTATAGATACTAAAAAGTATCAAAAACGATTAGGTGTATGTTTTTATAATTATTTAAAATATGAATTTTTATTGACTGAATTTATAGATAATAGTTATTTTACAGCTTTGGAATCTTTGTTTATTCAAAAAAGACCACATAAGTGTTTTTTTAATAGTACTAATGATTTAGTTGATGATGAAAGACTTTTAAATTTGTTCAAAATTTGCAATATACAGGCAATTCCATTGGAAAAAAAAAAATATGATGTATCAAATTTAAAAGAAGAATTAAAACTAATAATACCGCATGATGATGATGTAAGAAATTATGATAAACATTTAGAATTAGAAAATGCAAGTAAATGCTTAATAGTTTTAATAAATTATTTAAAAATTAAAGAAAATAGAGATATACATAATCAATGTAAAATTAATATACATAATATGGATTTATATATGAGATTAGACAAGGCAGCTATAAGCGCATTAAATATACTTCCAAATAAGAAAAGTATGAATAGTTATAATAATAATACATGTTTATTAAAATTTTTAGACAAGTGTAATACTTCTATAGGATCTAAAAAGTTAGTATCATGGTTAACACAACCACTAACAAATAGTAATGAAATTAATAAAAGGTTAAATATTGTTGAAACTCTTATAGAAGAGGATGATTTACGTAATAGTATTTTTTGTAATTATTTAAAAAGAATACCAGAACTAGATAAGTTAAATCACTATTTAAAGGAAATTAATCAAAATAATGAAATTCGAATGAATTCAAAATATAATGAAGAAATGATTTTAAAGGATGTTGTAAAATTATATTATGCAATTTTAGATTTTAAACAAATATATTTTTCTTTAACAGAAATCCAGGGAAAGTATAAAGATACATTAAATGAAGTTCTTATCAATCCTTTACATGAAATTTTAAGTAAATTTTCCAAATTATTAGATATGATTGAAATAACTATTGATTTAAAAGAAATAGAAGAAAACAAAGTTTATTTAATTTCAAAAAGTTTTGATCCAGAGTTAGAGGAAATATCAAATGAAAAAGATGCATTAATGCAAAAAATTAAAAATCATAAGGAGGATGTAGAAAGGGATATATTTTCTGATAAATGTGATAGGAGTTATAAAAGGGCAAATAGAGAAGATATAAGATTAGTGGATTGTAATACCAATATGTTTTTATTTAGGGTAACAAAAAAAGATTGTAATATAGTTCAACAACAAAAAAAAAAGTACATAACTGTACGTATGAATAAAAATGAGTATCTATTTACTACAAATACCTTAAAAAATTTATGCAGACAATATGAGCATTGTTTAAATATTTATAATACCTTACAATCAGAAATAGTAAAAAAAACAATTTGTGCTGTTTCTACATATACACCAGTGATTGAAAAATTTATAGATGTAGTATCAACATTAGATGTATTAACATCTTTTGCTGTTGTTTGTTATAATTCTCCCTTTCCATATGTTAGACCAGCAATAGTAGAAAATGGAGAAAACGTAATTATGAAAAGATCAAGACATCCTTTGCTAGAATTGCAGCACAATTTAAGTAACTTTATACCTAACGATATTCACATGAATAAACAAAAAAGTAGACTGGTAATAGTTACAGGACCTAATATGGGAGGAAAGAGTACATATATTAGACAGACAGCTATAATATGTATATTAGCTCAAATAGGTATGTTTGTACCATGTGATTTTTGTGAAGTTCCCGTTTTTAGTCAAGTTATGTGTAGGGTGGGAGCATCTGATTTTCAATTAAAGGGAATTTCTACTTTTTTATCAGAAATGATAGAAGCATCAGCTATTGTTAAAAATGCAGATAAAAATTCTTTTATTATTGTTGATGAATTAGGTAGGGGAACATCAACTTATGAGGGATTAGGAATCAGTTGGTCAATTGGTAAATATATTTTGGATAAAATAAAATGTTTTTGTTTATTTGCTACTCATTTCCATGAAATGTCTAATATTGCCTATCAATGTGAAGGAGTTATCAATAGACATGTGGAAACTACAATTGATCAGAAGAAAAAAAAAATTTGCTTTTTATATGAAATTAAAGATGGAGCATCAAATAAAAGTTATGGTGTAAATGTAGCTGAAATAGCAAAATTACCAAAAGAAGTCATTCAAAAGGCATATGAAAAAGTAGAAGAACTTGAATCAGCCGAAAATAAATATTATTTGAAAGAAAAGTTAAACATTGATACTTCAAATACAAATGAAAATTATAAAAATAAAATTTCTAATTACAGAAAAATTAAAGACGAAATTCATTATTTATTTTCATCAAGTAATGAAAATGAATTTATGGAACGTTTTATGTCTAAAAAAAATTACCTAAAAGAACTTACTATTTAATATTTTTTTTTTATTAGAAACATATATAGAATAAAATTTATTAAAGGAAATTTTTTTCTTATATATACATATAAAAAGATGTTTTTATATACAGCTGAACATTTAAAGCATAAATAAAATAATGCAAGGTTGCATTAATAAAAATATATTTAACATGTAAAATATTACATATATATTTAATATACTAGTACTGTTGAAAGTAAAATGTTATTTAAATTTAATTGTAATTCTTTATTATATATATTTTTAATCAATTGGTTTTTATTTTCTTTTTTTATTTTGTTTTATTATAAAAAAAAATTTTTTTTAAATTGTTATTTTTATATTATTCATTTTAAATAATGAGCTATTATATTTTTTTATTTTATTTTAAAACATTATAAAAAAAGGAAGAAAAACTATATTAATGTTATAAAAAAATATGAATGCATAAAAAATTTAGATGCTTCTACTTTTTATTTATTTTTATCTATTATTGTTTTTATTAGTATAACGCAACAAAAAAAAAAAAAAAAAAAAATTTTGAATGGGTGGTATCAATGAGATATAAAATCTTATAAAGTAAAAATTTTTTAATTATCACTGTTTTACCAAATTTTGTTTACAAATATATAAAATACGTATATAATATATCCAAAAAAATTTATAAAATAAAAAAAAAAATAATGAGACACAAATAAGTTAACCATTATTGATGTAAACACAATATAATATGAAGCGGTAAATGCACTTTTTTATTTTAGTGAGCTTATTAGAAGTATGTAAACAATTAAAAGCATATATTTTGAAGAGTTGTTTAAAAAAATAAAAAATAAAAAATATAATTGATTCTAAATTATTATAAAATAAAAAGTAGGCACTTTGAGTATCTATATTTTTTAGAATTCCTAATAAAGAATAAAAATAAAATATTTTTATAAAGTATTATTATTTATAATTGAGGAGATATATGGTCTTATAATTAAAAAATAATTTTTATTTTTTCATAAAATTAATGAACATTTTAATATTTCATATAATTTTCTTATATAAATTAAAAAAAAAGAACTATAAATGTTCTGTATAGTCTATTTCAATTATTTAATGTTTATTTTTCATTTGTAACAAAATATGTTTATTTTTATTATACACAACTGAATGTATTTTTTTTTTTTTTATCATTTTATAATTGAAAATTTTTTAAATAAATTTTATTCTTTTTGTTAACATACTAAAATAGGGTATTAAAAAGAATCATTTTTATTTTTGTCATTGCATGCTATACTTTTTCACATTTCCTCTATTTTTCCTTTTTTTCCTTTTCCCATTTTTCCTTTTTTTCATTTATTCATTTTTTTATTCTTTAGCTTTTTTCTTTTTCTTTTTTTTTTTTTTTCTTAATATATTTTTTTGTAAATTATTTAAATTTCTTTTATTAATTTTTATTTATGTTGCTTAACATAATTTTTTTAAATAATTGAACCTTTTCCTTTTTTTTATATATTTTTTTAATAAACTTTAAAATGAATTATTCATATTCTATTTTATAATTTTTCTTTATTCCTTTTATTTTATTTTATTTTATTTTATTTTTTTTTTTTTTTTGGTTAACTTTTTTAATTTTTTATAAAAAAGTTGTTCATTAAAATTATTATAAGTAACATAAATTAAAATAGTTAAAATATTAAGACAAAATATCATAGCTATTGTTTACAATTTATTAATAATTATTATCTTGTTTTTAAACCTGTTTTTTTTTTTTATTTTTCACAAAAAATAAAATAGGAAAACAAAATTAAATATAATTTCCAGTTATTTTTAGGAAAATATATTTTTATTTATGATATTTTCAAAGTATAATATTTGGTATATAATTTAATAACATTTTTAAAATTTAATAATTCTATTTTCAAATAATATATTTTCACTTTTATTCTTTAATTTTCTGGTTTAAAATTTTCATACTTTTTTTTTTTTTATTTAAAATTAAATGTATATGAATTTGATAATTCTTATATTTTTTGTTATACAAAATAAATGAGCTTATATTGAATACTTAAATGATGCCTCAAGAAAAGAAATTAAATAAACCTTTACTTAATATAAATGACGAAGAAGAGGATATTAGAAAATATGATAAAAATGAAGAATATAATAGTAGAATGGGTGTTTTATCAAACTTTCATTTAAATCATGATATGAAAAAACTGATGAAAAGAAATGAAATTAAGATTAACAATGAGAATGTGTATACAGATTATTTAAAATCTAAATTTAAATCAAATAGCAATTCCAACAATAAAAATTATGATAGTATACTAGATGAAGAAAAATCGAAAGCATCAAAAGAATTTTTTTTTAATAAAAATACTTTCTCATATATGAAGGAAAATAGAGGAGAATATTTAAAAAATGATGATTTCAAAGTTAGAATTAAATGTTTTAATAAATATTTGAAACATGATGTTCATAAAATATACAATGGAGAGAATATTCAATATTCTTTACAAACTCATGAATTATTAAAAATGGTTCATCAGATAAAAGGAGAAAATACATCTATAAATTCCACAAGTGGATTAGCTCAATATAGGGATATAAGACAATTAGTATCAAATAACACAAACACAAGATTTGATATATCTCCTAAAAGAAATTGTGTATTATTAAATTTACCATATAGAAAATGTATTATATTTAAGGATTTTTTGTTATATATACCTACTTTTACAAATAGTCCAATTCTTGAAGTAACGCAAAAAGAAGAAAAAATGTGTAAATATTTTATTGAAAATGCAAAAGTAATATCTTTAATTAAGGATTCATTACCATTTGAAATTTTAATTTTAGAAGCAATATTTGTTGATATATGTGAAGAATTAAAAAATGAAATTGAGCCAGTAATATGTGAAGCAGAAAAATTATTTGAAATAATAAGCAATAATTTAAGTATATACAAATGTATAAACAAATTAACGGAAATGAGAAGAAAACTAAAAATAATTGATGAAAAAGTTCAAAGTGTATATAAATCTATTCATGGTGTTTTAAATAATGATGAAGATGTAAGGAGATTAGAAGTCTCATATTTTTGGGATAAGCCAGATTTGTGGGAAAAATGTGATCCTACTCCAAATAATGAAGATACAGAAATGCTATTAGAATATTACTGTCATGAAATAGAAGAGTTTATAAAGATTATTCATAGAACTGATCAATCATTGGATGATGTATTACAAATGGTTGAATTAAATTTAGATGATGCAAGAAATAATGTTTTAAAATTAGAATTAGGGTTAAAAATATATGGTATAATCATAACTGTTGTTGGTACAGTAGCTGCTATTTTTGGAATGAATTTAAAAAATGGTTTTGAAAGTGATCAATATGTTTTTTGGATACTTGCTTTTTCTTTAATGCTTATAACAGTATTTTGTTTATTTTATGTTATGGTATCCTTTAAAAAAGTTAATATTTAATATTAACATATTTTCGTTCACAATTTTATGTTGCTTTAAATTTATCAAAAATATGTATATATTTTTATCTATTCATAAAACAAAAAATATTTTAATTTTTAAGATAAATAAATTTATATAATAAAAATTATCGCTAATGTAAGATACTTAAAAAGAAAATAATTAAAATATTTTTAATTTGTAATACATTTTATTCAATAGCAATACTTATAGTATCATATATATATATATTTTAATAATTCATGTTTTATAAATTATGTAAATTTAAAATATTTGTAATAATTGAAAAAAAAAAAAATATATATAATATATTTCCGTCTCATTTTTTACTAGAATATTATCTATTTTTTAAATAAAGAAGTATTTTTTTATTGAAAAGTATATACTTTATACATAAATTTAAATAAAATTAATAAAGATAATTATGAAAAATATTTTAGCATTGATGGCACGCATATATAATTTTTTATTATTATATGACTAATTTTAAATAATTTTCAAAATGTCAAAATTATAAGAAAATTTCGTTATGAAATTATGTATGTATTCTGCTCTGCACACAATATTTTCGTTTTAATTGTCTTTATTGCATATGGTTCTCACTTCTCTACTTTTTAACCAGTAAAAAAAATAAAATGATCCTAAAATGCTTATAACAAAACCCACAAAAAAAATAAGATCCATAATATTTCCCTTTAATTTATTTAGGGCATCATTCATATCCCATCTATATGTTGGTGGTTTTGATGAATATTCACCTTTCATTTTTAGAAAAATATTTTAAGATGTTCGTAATACAGAATATAATAAAAAAAAAAAAAAAAAAAAAAAAAAAAAAACCTATTATATTTTATTAAATTTAGCTATTTTAAAGAAATAAATATGAACTATTTACATATATTTTTTTATTATTGCACGGAAAATGAAGTATGCATATAAATATATATACAAGTTAGTAAAAAAATTATTGATATATGCACTATTTTTTTTTTTCCTTTTTGTTACAAAAATAATATATCTTATTGACTACACAGTAACATTATATTTTCTTTTTGAGATAAAAGGAAAATAAGAAAGAACAAGAGTAATATTTAAAATATATTTAAAAAAAAAATTTTTTAAATGATTGTTCATCACATATTTTTATGCATATAAAAAAATACAAATATTTATTTTTTTTAGTAATTAATTTTTATTATGCAAGGTCAGTAAATAAAAAATAGAAAGTTAAAATTTTTTTTTTTTCGTATTAAGTAAAAGAGTATAAATACTTCAAATATTACTTTATATACAATTTCATTAGATACACAAATTTTTCTTTTTTTTTTAAATGAAAATTAATTTTATTATTTATGTTTATTTAAATATAAATTATAATTAAAAATGTATGAAATATCTATTAATTACCCGAATTTTATGTTAAAAAATTTATAAAGTTAACAGATATTTTATATTACACTATAAAAGAATGAGATGAGAAAGATGTAATATTGATTTATTTTTTAATATTGTTTTTCTTAAAATATAAAAATAAAATAAAAATTTTTTTTCGATAATAAATTAGACAATACTAGGATAAAATAGTTACATAAAAAAAAAAATATATATATATATATATACCTTAAAACAATATTTAAATAATATTAAATTTATATAAAGATTATTAAAACAAAACAAATATTAATTATAGGTGTGTATAATAAATTATATTATCAAGCATTTAAAATATTATTTAAACTCAATAATTTTATGGCATTTTCTTTTACAGTTAATTTCATAATGTTACCTAAATGAATACAACATTCAATACATGTTTTTACCATAGATTCAAATATATCAATAGGAACTTCTGCATCAAATTCTAATAAAATAATTTTATGTGTATTCAGTTCAATAACTAGAGTCAATTCAGGAGAACCTGAATTTATTTCTAATTGATTAGCATCTACTATCATAGTGTTTTGTAGATACAGAACTGAACAGGATGATATAAAATATTTAATTGCTATACCTGCATCAATTAATGCTAATAAACAAGTATTTATAGCAGCATGTTTTAAACCTCCATCTCTTTCTATGATATATAAAAAAATATTTATTTCTGAGTTTTTATACAAATCTAATAATATAATATTTTCGCATATATTTCTTACATATGCGCTTATTTCATTTGTTATATTATCTTTTGTTTTTTTTTTTCTTTTTTCATAAACACTAAAAGGAGATAAAAATACTTCACATTTTATGGAACATTTATCATCTGATTTTTTTAATTCAGTTGGTCCTTGTACATAGGACAATATTTTTGTATTACCTATTTCAAAAAAAGCAAATCCATCTTCATCTGTAAATATATTTTCATTACCTAAATGAATTTTTATTAATCTACATTCATTTGATTTCCTTCCATCAATTCTATATCCCTCTTCATTTATATATTCTTGAATTGACATAATTAGAAAGAAAAATTTTATTTATATGTATATTCTTAAATATGAATATTTATGGGATTAAAATTTTTTTATTCTTATAATTTTTAATATTTATGAATTATTTCAAAAAATAGTTAACAAATGGGTGCTTAAAATCACTATAAAAAAGGAAACTTACATTGGATAAATTATAAAAAATATCGAAGTTATAAGAATTAATTTTTTGTAACATTGTTCAAATTTATTTAAATTCATTAAATAAAGGTAGATATATCCATTATATCATTTAAAAAATTGTAATCATTTACATGTTTAAATAAACATAATTATATTAATAGAATATAAAATTTTCATTATGCATTAAAATTATATAATTTTTTATTTAAAAAAAAAAAAAAAAAATTACAGTAAAAATAATATAAAAAAAAATTCTTTAAAAAAAATTTTAAAATTGAATACGTAAATAAAATTAAAATAAATTTTTTCTTTACTTTTTTAAATATTTTACAAATTGTGACAAGAATTTAGCATCAGGATTAATTTATTAAAAGTACAATTTCTATAGATAATTATATATATTAAAAATTAAAAAATTTTAATTTAATTTATGAATGGATTTTTATGAAAAAAATTTTTAAAAGAGTAAAATTTAAAATAGCATAACTTCTTTTTTATATGAAGTTTATGTAAAATATATAAAAACAATAATGTTAATGCTAATAAAAGTAAAATTCATATAGAGAAATATATAAAATAATATATGTTTTCTCTTTATAAGTGTATTCCTTTTAATAAATATTTTATTAAGCATTTATTTTTATATATTATATAATAATAAATGTGATTTTAAGAAAAGATAGAAAGGGTATTTACAAAAAATATATATAAGGAAAAGTATATCTTTTAAAATAAAATTTAATAAATTTTGCTAAAAATAAAACGAACGTGAGTACTGAAAAGTAAGACAAATATGGCTATGTTATGCGCAAAAAAAACAGATAATACATTTTATATTAAAATCCATTTGGAAATTTTGAAACAGTGAAAAAAAAAAATTTTTTAAATGAATTTAGACTATGAAAAGCTTTAATAACTCCGAAAAAAAAATATTTATATAAAAATGAGTTTTTCATTTCAAATTTATTTTTTCTTTTTTATCTAAAAATGAAAAAAAAGAAAAATCTTTAAGAGAAATCTTAAAAAAGAATGTATATTTATTCATTATTCAGAGAAATACAATACTTGTGAAATTTAAGTATATATATATATATATATATTAAGAATTGTTTTATTCTCAGAGAAAAAAAAAAAAGTATTGTTTAAAAAAAAATGTGTGATATATATTTTAAATAGAATTTTAGTCGAACATAAAGCTATTTTTATATTTTTCTCTTTTTCATAATATAGTTTTTTTTAATTATGCAAAAAAAAAAAAAAAAAAAAAAAAAAAAAAAAAAAAAAAAAAA